ATAAAAATATAAAAAAAAAATTGTAAGAGCTCTATGTTTATATATATATATATATATATATATATATATATATATATATAAGTTCAAGAAAGTTTCACCTATGTCAATAATCTTAAAATTTAATTTATCTTTTTGACAAATAAATAATTTATCTTAATTATTTTAATTTAATATATTATGTCAAAGATTCAGAATTCAATATTTAGCTAACTATGATTTGAGATTAACTAAATTTAATTAATAATATTTGAAAATAAAATATTTAAGTCTTATTTGAATAAACATTATAAAACACTTGTAGAAGAAAAAAATAATTAAAAAAATTAAAATCCACTTTACCTCAATTTGTCTGATGAGAGAATATTTATAAACATTACAGTATAAGAATTAATTCTTTAAGTCATAAGAAAAAATTAATCAATTTTAAGCAAGCAGATTTAGAACAAGGAAGAAAAATAAAAAATATTAATAAAATTGTTCACTGTGAAAATATTGGCATGTGGCAACGAGTAGTTCCCTATCCACGGTCGTTTTGGCGGCAGCAAAAATCAACATTGATATTTGTCTCTCCGGCGAGAGGGTAAGGAAACACAGAACAGAGCAGAAGAAGCTACTTCCATTCCATTACACACTTACACGTTACTCGCAAATCCCATTATCATCATTTTCTAATTTTCTTTATCTTCGTTCACTCATGTCAATGTGATGGCTCTCGTACCCACTCGCCAGCTCCACCCATTCTTCGATTCATTTCACACTTCTTCCAACTTCCACTCTCTCCGCTTCTGCTCCCTCTTCCAATTCCGACACCCTCCCAATTCCACTTTCCTCGCTGCCAAAACACCCACCTTTCGCTGCAACTCCGCCAAGAGTTTCTCCGCTGAAAAAAACTGGTTGAAACGGTGGAACCACCCCATTCACAACCGCGCCCGCCCGAAACCGCCACGTGCCCTTCTCGACTATTCCGGAAATGGGCAAACGTCAAAATCCGGTTTTTCCAGCTCCGACGAGGACGCTGATGGCAACACCCGTGGAAGCACCATGGACAGGATCGTGGAAAAACTGAAGAAATTTGGGTACGTTGATGACGGGGTTGAGAATAAGGGAAGAACAAAGGAGAGTGTGATAGAAAAAGGGTCGGTGGAGGATATCTTTTATGTGGAGGAAGGGATGTTGCCTAATGCAAGAGGTGGTTTTTCTCGAGAATCTCCATTAGGGTTTGGAAGCTTTGGAAGTGATGATGGAGAAGTGAGGTTTCCGTGGGAGAAGCCGGTGGTTGAGGAGTTAGAAGAGAGGAAATCCGTAAGAAGGAAAAGTAAGACCTCTCTGGCGGAATTAACTCTTCCTGAGTCAGAATTGAGGAGGCTGCTTAGGTTGACTTTTGAGAAGAAGCACAAGACCAGAATTGGGAGAAGTGGGGTTACGCAAGCTGTTGTGGACAAGATTCATGAGAGGTGGAAGACTTCGGAGATTGTGAGGCTCAAGTTTGAAGGTGAGGCCGCGCTAAACATGAAGAGGATGCATGAGATACTCGAGGTTTGGTCTTTACCTTTTAGCTTCTTGTGTGTTTTAATGAGAGTATGTTTGGATACAAGCTTTTTTTTTATTGAAAATAAAGAGCTTTTTCCTATAGTGAAGCTCTAACTCGTATACATGCAACAAGCTCCAAGTCTTGAATTTTGTTACAAAACTTATTGGGTGCATGTTGGGAACGAGAAGCTAGTTCAAGTTTATTGAAGTGGATGATAGGAATATCTTTGTGAAGTGTGTGTAAACTTGTTTTGGATAATTAAAAGTGGACTATTAAAATAGCTTGTATCTATGCGACTTGGGAGCTTCATAAAATTCTTCAAAGTAGATAGTCCAACAAAATCTTTATCATGTCTTGTGTATATGGGATAAGGCTTTTACTCCAATTACAGTATAATAAAGTGAATTGCATTTCAAAGAAACTCCCCTAATACGTTTTTCCTTTATTTTTTTTTCTTTCTTCAGATGAATGTCCGTCCAATTATTATTATCTGCTTAAGACATGTCAAATCAATGTGGGGAAATAGGATTGACAGAATAGGAAGTGAATTGTTGATTAGGTAACTATGTACAAATTTCTGTTGGGTTTGATCCTTAATTACTATAATGAGTTTAGATTCATCCAACACTTTCACTTTCCTTGGATTGTAGCTGGGAATCTGATTATGAATATTTTATTAATACCAAACAGGTTTTCTTTAAGCTGTCCCCATAACCTGTTCTGATTTTGTAATTTTTTTTATTTTTAATTGGGGTGTGATACCTATTTATACAAATTTTTCCGTGATAAGTAATTGAGCCATCTTCTAGAGCACTCTCTTGAGTGTGCTTGCAAATTTGGAAACATTTTTCTTCTTCAACCACAACACTTGTTAAAGAGTCCAGATTATCTGTAGGGATCGATATGAATGCTCTATGATTAAAATGTTTGTATTGTCAATGCTGGCTGCTGTGAATCATCAACTGTAGATTCCATTTGGAGTTTTCCAATTTTTCTTTATACACCTCTGATTTGACTATCAATAACCACTGATATATTCTTGTTTGTTTTTAAAATCACATTCAGAGAAAAACTGGTGGTCTGGTGATTTGGAGGTCTGGCAACTCTGTTTCCTTATACAGGGGTGTGAGCTACGATGTTCCTTCAGTAAAGCAGAATAAACAAATATATAGGAAAAGCGAGAACACTTCTAAGATTTTATCATCACCTTCTTATAATACTGCGGGGAATCCTTCTGACATCGGCTCTAATGCTGCAACAAATGCACCATTGGCAAAATTGGAATCTACATATGACAAGAAAGAAAGAGATTATCTGCCTAAAGTCAATTATGAACATGAAGTAGACAAGTTATTGGATGGTCTAGGCCCTAGATACACAGATTGGCCTGGATGTGATCCATTGCCTGTTGATGCAGATTTGCTTCCTGGAACAGTTCCTGGTTACCAACCTCCCTTCAGAGTTCTTCCTTTTGGAGTGAAATCAACACTTGGTTTAAGGGAGGCAACTGCTCTACGAAGGATTGCGAGGAGCCTTCCTCCACATTTTGCACTAGGTTTGTTGTTGTTGTTTCCCTTGTGCATGTGAAGTTTTGAATTTTATTCTGATTATAAATTAATCATGATATATAGGTAGAAACAGACAGCTTCAAGGCTTAGCTGTAGCCATGATTAAATTATGGGAAATAAGTTCTATTGCAAAGGTTGCACTCAAACGTGGTGTGCAGCTAACTACCAGTGAGAGAATGGCAGAAGAGATCAAGGTATTTCATTATGCATTTTCCTGTTTTTGTAGCTTTGTTTTCTTTAGCATTTTTTCATCATTCCAGAGTCAGTATGCCATTTCCTGATGCATAAAAGTTTCTTAATGCATGAAAATTTTCTTTAGTTTTTGTAATTTCCTAGCAGCATACATTAAGTGCACAATAAATGTTAAGAGATTGAACCAACCCACAATGTAAGTTTGAAATTATCAAAAGATTGAACTCTCATTGGTGAATCAATGAATAAACTTTGGCATCTGTTAAGATCAGTGTTTCATATTGACTACATTCATGTGAACCCACTAATTTTCTTCTGTTCTAACTTCTGTCATGACAATGTCACGTCTGACCTGCTAATGCTCTCACTGTCACTTGTTTTGGTTGAAATTTTATAAAAACCCCATTGGCAAAACCCTACTTTGTTATCATGTGCTTTTGCTACTTTCAAATGTCTCAAATGATCCACTAATATCTGTGATATACATAGTAATAGAAAAATAAAAGTCTCTTAGTTTAATCTTGCTGTAGAATATTATGAGAAAAATAGTGTTTCTATTTTGTGTAAATAAAAGAAAATGATACATGGTTCATATAATGCTTCAGCATATAGATATTGCCTGTTCTGAATGAATGTTGGCAAACAAAACCTCCAGCTTTTTGTATTCATATTACTATGAAATGCTCTTGTTGCATTCTAGTGTTACTTACTGCTTCTATAATTTGATACATTTTACTTCACTTATGGCTTGTTTGTTTCACTTGATAAGTTATAACTAGTCTCTCACTGCCTGAGGATTGTAACTTGTGATGTCTTGCTGGTATTGTTCTTAAAAGAAGGGGTATGCTTAGACACTATTATTATTTGCCTACATGTTGTATACAGATCACATTTCAATGAAATAATCTGCCATAATTTCTTGAAGATGTGCATACATTTTTCTTCCCCTCTACACAACTTACATTCACTATAACTATGGGCCAGATCGTTACCTATTCAATGATATGTTGATAATTTTTTTTTTTTTTTGCTGGCTGCAGAAATTGACAGGTGGTATACTACTCTCCAGAAATAAAGACTTCTTGGTCTTCTTTCGAGGAAAGAATTTTTTATCTGCAGATGTCACTCAAGCCTTGCTGGAGAGGGAAAAAATGGCAAAAGTCATGCAAGATGAGGAGGAGCAAGCAAGATTGAGAGCGTCATCATTGCTCATATCAACTAATAATACATCAGAGCTGTCAGCAGAGGCGGGGACTCTTGGTGAAACTTTGGATGCAGATGCAAAGTGGGGGAAAACATTGGATGAGCGTCACAAGCAAAAAATAATGAGAGAAGTAGAGCAACTACGGCATGCAAACCTTGTTAAAAAATTAGAACATAAGCTTTCCTTTGTAAGTTCTTTAAGTTCCTATAATCATGGAAATCTCTTATTGTCTTGCCAATGGCTTTTGTGTTTAATCTCTCATCATCCAGCTTGATTATAATGCCCTTTCTTCTAAGGGTTTTCTTGATGAAACTTAAACAAAACTGTGTTATTTGAGCTGAAATTTGACTATGGCTGATTATAATTAACTTTCAAACAAACCCTAACCCTAGGCAATCAATGATTTTAAATATCATGTACACCATGTCAGTGGTTCCTGGAAGTTTTGATAATCTTTGTTGTCTCTTTCTGTATTATTTTCCAATTTAGAATTTGCATGATTGTAATCCCTGGATTTTTCTAACCAGGCTGAAAGAAAGTTAATGAGAGCTGAAAAGGCCTTAATGAAGGTGGAAGAGTCTTTGAAGCCATCAGAATACAAAGCAGATCCTGAAAGTATATCTGATGAAGAGAGATTTATGTTTCGCAAATTAGGATTGCGGATGAAAGCTTTCTTACTTCTCGGTAGAGCTTTATCTATGTAAAATTATTCTTACTCTTTTTTAGGACCACTTTGGATCCCTTCACCACTAAGTCTGATGGAAGAAATCAGATAGAAAAAGTTTCTTATAAAACTAATTCATGGTAATGTTATACCTGAATATTGCATCTCTAAAAGTTGAGAATCCATTCTTCAAAGTTTATAAATCTTCTATATCTCCCCTTAACCCGTTTTCTTCTCAATAATTTCATCCCCCCACCCTTGAGGGTACCTTCATTATGTGGTGCTTATACTAATCTAGTAATTTGTGGATTCAGGTAGACGTGGAGTTTTTGATGGTACTATTGAGAACATGCACTTGCACTGGAAGTACCGGGAACTGGTCAAGATAATTGTAAAGGCTAAAAACTTTGAACAAGTAAAAAAAATTGCACTAGCACTTGAAGCTGAGAGTGGAGGTGTTCTGGTCTCAGTTGACAAAGTTTCAAAAGGATATTTTATAATTGTTTATCGGGGTAAGGAGTACCAGCGACCTTCATCTTTGAGACCCAAAAATCTTTTGACAAAGAGAAAGGCTTTGGCACGTTCAATTGAGCTCCAACGACACGAGGTATGCATACAAACTTATTTTTTATAATATTAATTTTCATGTAGATCAGGAGTTAAACAATCGCAATGTACATTTCTGTACTTTATGTACCTCAAGCTACAATTTTATAACAACCTAATTCTGCATTTAATGTACCTTAAACTACAGTTTTATGACTACCTAACGTCAGACCACAGAACCACTGCATTATGACCTATTTATTTGTTTAATATATAATTTATATGCTTTTCTTTTATTGTTCTAAAAACCACTATAAGAAATTTCCCTTTCTTTGCTCTCTGTCTGGCTGGACGTTTATTAAGTTGCTGGTCTTCTATAAATGAAAGCAGCTTATAATTTTTAGGTTAAACCTTATTGTGGCCCCTGAAAGATACAACTTTTTTTAATAAATTTAGTCCCTAGAACTAAAAATCCCTAACTTTTTCACTCCTCCATCCATTTAATGTTGAAACCTGATTTGCCACATTGAAAGATGACATGGCATGTCTAGCTTTGCCAATGGAATGGAAATAACAGTATTTGGCCAAAATGTGTCTTAAAAAGGTATATGAATGCTCTAATTTAGAAAATTATATAACTCTCAAAACCTTGTCTAAAACTGGCAAAACATCATTTTGGCTTAGTTAACTGTACTGAATATGCCATGTTTATCTTTTCATATTATTAAAACGCCTCGTGAGTTGACAATATTAAACTTAAATAGATGGAGGGCTGAAAAAAAAGGAGATTTCAAGTTTTAACTTTAACGGACCAAGGTGATAAAATTTATCTTGAGGGAATAATTTTTTTGTATATATTTAAGGACCAAAATAAAATAAGGTTTTACTCTCTAATTCTTGTCTGCTTCTCCATCTCTCCCTTATGTAGTCCTGTATGTACATTCTTATATGATAAGTCAAATAATGCCTCAACTCTCTTTCTGTTAACAAACAGGCGCTCTTGAATCATATTTCAACTTTGCAAAGTAAAGTGGTGAAGCTAAGATCGGAAATAGTAACTCCTTCCTAACCTTTCATTTTTAGCATTTCTTATTGCAAGTCAAGTTGCATCTTTTATGGGAAACACGTTTCCTGATCTTATTTGGCTTAAATAAATTTTCATAGGAACAAATGGAGAAGGTAGAGGACAATGGAGATGAAGCATTATATGACAAATTGGATTCTGCCTATCCTTCTGATGATGAGAACTCTGAGGTTGCTCTCTCTGCGATAATAACCCCACCCTCATCAAAAGACTTGTGATGAAACAGTTTTTCATTTTATATTTTTGTTCATATCTTTATGTAGGTAGAGGATGGTGAGGTGGGAGATGAGGCATATCTAGAGACCTATAATAGCGAAAATGACAGTGAAGTTGAAAGTGATAATATGTGTTCTCAACATGAGGAGTTTGCCTCACGAAGTTGAAGGTCAAGGATCATGTGATTTGGGGATTCCTAACGCCCAAGTGAACCATTAATGCCACTCAATACATTGGACCACAGACTGATTGACGAAGAATATAATATCTCCTTCAGATCAAATCGCTGATAAGAACTTACTCAATTCAATGATATTGTCACAGGGTATGCAATTAGACACGATCCTGAGTCTATAACAGCATCGCAGTTTCTGAGATGTGTGTATATACATTTGTTCCTATGAAATTCTCTGGAACTGAATAAGTCAACAGGTCAATTAATATATGGTGGAGGAATAGGGCCAAGAAAAATGCTAGTAACACTTTGTAACACCTTTTTAAAACATTCTGGTATTGACCAAATTTATTGAAAATCATAAAATTTTATTGATCTCATTTTGCATTTAATGAGTCTTGTTTATGATTTTTCAATTTCTAGTAAATTTTAACCATTAATAGTAGAGACTAATGTTAGCTTATAAGGAAATATCTGATGATTTTTAGGACTTTGTTTAGAGCTTATAAATTGTAAGAAATGTTTTACATATTAATACCACAAAAATGATACACAGTAATCCTCCTTAGGAAATCATAGATGATGAATAAGTTCAACATAAAACATGATAACTTCAAAAGATAGACAAACACTGCTTCCACATATTATGCAACAAAATGTTTCGAGGGATGTTTTGCATTTTGATGCCACAAAATGACACACAATAGTCTTCCTTATGTTAGTAAAACATAGGAATAGTAGATATAACATAAAACGTGATAACTTCACAAGATAGCTGAACACGGCTCAAACATATCACGCAACGATATTGGTTACATTTTTTCTAATGGATTTCTCTATTTTCTGAATGGCCTCCCTCAGTTGTTTCTGATCACTTGGCCTTGAAGGTAACATAATGATGTCATTCCAAACAGAACCAGGTTCCATTATGGGGTTGGGTTCCTTGTGAAGTTCGTGGATGGAATCAGCTTCAGCATTCAAACTGCCTATCCTCTTCAAGCATTTGATATCTTCAGGATCCACCAGTAGATTGTGATCACCGTCCTTCCACCCTATGAGCTATGTAATGCATCATCATAAGCAAGTTATCCTCTTAACATTTTAATAATGGTAAAGTTTAAAATCAAATATTTCAGTGTGCAAAATTGTTCATGTTACCTTTGGTGGACCACCAACAGCATTTGTGCAATAAAGCCTGGCATTATCAACAAGTTTGCAATATCTTGGAAATGCATTAGCAAACCTTTTATGAGATTTCAATTGTGAATTCACCCTCACTGCCCTCCCTGTTATAATAGCTCTCCTGCCAAAATTCCAACAGGAAATCTTAACTGTCATGTCCACGAAACCCCTTCCCAAACTAGTAACTTGGAAGAATACAAAGTCACAAGCATATATACCTAATGCCTCTAACAACAGCAAGATAGCCATCACAAACCACACCAACTAGCTCAATTCTGTAAGGCTTTCGAGTGCGTGGTTCTCCATTAGAAATTTCCTCTGATTGATGTTCTTCTTCTGCCTCATTTACCTGCTCCCAGTAATTCTCAATAACTGTCCCATCTTTAGCTACTTTATACCCTAACCCCATTCGATACTTGTATTTGTGAACATTTCTTGCCATAGCAATAGTCTGCTCCACAAATGGTTCCCACGATAAGGTACCATCCATGATCACGTCGCGACCCTCATTTAGAGCTGTGACTAGCACAGATGATGCAGCATCGGTGGAAGACTGATGCACCTGTTGAAAAATTTAATGCAACCATTAGTTAAAAATAGTTTATAAGGGTCTAGTATATGCCATTCATTTTGTCATACCTTTAATTTCAAAAGAAACTTTTACTTTGTGAATGTGCATATTTTTAAAATTCATTCCTAAACAATAGAGGAGATGTGATAATAATAAGTGGAGGTGTTGACTCAGAAGCATACCAGTTCAGCAGTTTGGAGCATGTCATCATGGTGACCTCTGGAGTTAAGGGCCTTATATATGACGTCACTCTCCTTAAAAGCATCTGCCTCAACCACCACAGCATTTGCAGCTGCTCCCGACCAAAATGGTCTGCCAAAGCCGTTTCATACATATAAATAATCTTAAATCCGCAAACTAGGTTGGAACGTAGTACTTCTCTATCGAAAAAAAAAAAAAACTATTTTCAATAGAGAATTCCCAAAAACTCTTATAAACTTATCCACACAATTTCAATGTCATATGATTTGCACTGCTGCAAATTTTGTAAAAGTTCTAGCATTGAAGAATGATAATAGTGGAAGAGGTTACTCTTTAAGAATGTCTTTAAGAACAGTGCTCTTTCCAGCTCCCATGCCACCCCCCATAAACATCAGCACTGGACTCCTCTCACTGAGGGCCATGGGTACCATCACGTCTGTGTATTGCGCGTCACCATTTATTACTTTCATCTCTTCCACCAAAGTAGAGAACACTCTTGTCACCTTCAGATTCTTCGTTACTCTCTCAAACCTCTGTTTCCTGTACACACCGCACCATATTGCTTTCAACCAATTATTTCTCTTAACCGTCAATATTTCTAAAATTAATGATGCACTTATAACAATTCATACAACATACGAACAAAAAAAAAAAACAATTCATACAACATTATTTTTTCATTTTTATCTATCTTCATTATTACAGTAATAAATATAATAAATAATGTGATAGAGAGGTAGATACAACAAATGATATCTATACTTTCTTTCTTTTTTATATACAAATTAATAATAAATATATCACTTTTTTTTTATACAATTTTATTAAAATACCTCACTTTCAATGAATGCATTACTTTAAATTGTACGAATAACGATTAAATAATTTATGAAAAGATAAATTCGTAAAAAAAAAATTAATATTATATTAAAAGTGATATCATTATTAAAATGTTAAAAGTACTGTCATTATGAAACGAAATGAGTAAGATGTTGTAAAATTATCATTTCTTGTATTACCATGCTATTCTCACCTAGTGAGAAGAAATAAATGTTATCAACTTTTAACTCCATAATAATGATGTGAAATTTTAGTTTTAAGATAAGAAAATTTTATGATATAAAGACTAAATTTGAATTATTTGATTAAATATGATAAAACAATTTTTTAAAGAAAATAGAATTTACCTTGTAGCTGCCAATAGAATTTCCTTCAGCTTTCTTTTCTGCGGAGACTCCGCACTAAAAACCTATAGTTCAGCAAATATAAAAACGTAACGATTAATCTAATTTAAGAAGAAAAAGGATAGCAAAGCAGGGGGGGAAAAAAGCATCACGCATTTACTCTGTACAACCGAAAGCTGATATGAATTTTCGGTTGGTTATTTTATTGATTTACAATTTGGGACGTGTTATATACTCTATCTTTTCTTTATTACATGGGAAAAAAATTTAATTTTAGATATATTAAAAAAATTAGTTATATGTATTAAATTTTACTAACTTCATAATATTCTTTCTAAGTTGTCTTTGTAATTGTAATAAATACAACAACAAAAAAGTACAATTGAAAAGCCATGTATTACAATAAATGAGATAAAAGTAGTTAAAATTTACTCATATTTAAGAAAAAAAATGTGCATAGCTTTTTATTTATAATAGATAATAGAGGAAATATCAAATCTAAGCAGAGAGAAGTTAGAAAATTGAAGAATTGTTGAGCGATTTAGCCATTCTAAAAAAATCTTCTATGGGAGAATTTCACTTAGCAAAAGTTTTCTCGCCACACTATGCAACGTGAGATTTCAAAGATTTCCTCAATAAAAGAATTTTGCTTAGCAAGTATTTTTTTTATTGATAAATGTTAATATTTTAACTCAATCTCTCTTTGTGTTGTAAAATAACAAACAAGATACTACAAGAATGCAGTAGTGTAATGCAGAAACGAAAAACAAAATTGAAATCAGAAAGAAGAACATAGAGAATTATATTGGTTAGGATTGAATCCTACATCCACTCTTCAAGGTACTTTTGGACTTTACTATTGAAATAGATTACAAGAACTTTACAAGAGTTGGTTTCTCACACTTGATCCCTATACACTCAACAAAGGTACCTCACCAATGTATTTTTGTGTGTATCATCATTCTATGAGTCACCTAGCTAAGTCTTTATATAAAAGGAGATAAAAAGCCTTTATTTAGCTATTAATAGAAATAACTACCATAATAGATCAAGGCTTCTCCAACTAACATTTAACTAGAAAACATAAATGACATTTAATAAAAGCAGCTAGCCAATGAAGATCCACTCAATTCTACACTCTCTTTATCACTCCAACCCTACATCCGTCCCTCAAACCACTAGACTAAGCCTAAGCAGCAGTTGGTTTTGGACAGTTCGAGCTCAAATTTATGAAATTGATAAAAAAAAATCGAGCTCCTTCATTTGCAACCTATAATCGACCAATCATTACATCCAGTTGGACGGTGAATATCAAATTTATCGAATTCATAGGACAAGTTCTTCGATTTGTCATAAAAGTGCCACCAGCTAGCAATGCAGTAGAGGGGGAGGAAGGGGGGCAGAGCGAAGGAGGAGGGGTAGAGCAAAACCATCTTCATTTTTCTTAAATGGTGGATGCGACCCATAGAATAAGCAGATAAGCTCTCCATTTTTTGGATTAGATAACTGAGTTCATTCTCTTGTACTTAATTAATATATTTGTCTTTGTACTACATTATTAACAATTTTATTTTACTTAATGCTTGATATAGTTTCATTGTCCATATCTTGATTTATGATTTAAAAAATGTTTTCTTAACTTTAAATGGGAGGAAAATCCCTAATGACTCCAATTTTAGGAATGAATATGATTTGCTAGTGATCTTTGATTTTTAAATCACTTAATGCTAAAGTGTTTATGAAAAGAGAATATTATTTAATGAAACCTAATTCCAAAGTTACATTTTTAACCTTTCATTTAAATTTCTACCGTTATAAAAATGAGAAAAAGATGAAAAATATCTCATAAACCTTTCTCTTTTATTGTCTTTTGTATTGAATACATTTCGTTAAATACCCATTTTGTATATAATTTATGATTTTATCGTCAAGTATTGTTTGTTCTCAAAAGAATGATATTTTACTCACTTTTAATTGGTACATTTTCTAAAGAGTTAATAGTTTAGTTAGGAGATAATTTTTGTATGTGTAATTATTTTTTTAATCAAAGGTATAATTATCTAGGAAAAGTAGAGACTAAAAAGCAATTAGCATAATAGGTATTCCATAGAAGAACTCGTTTGAAAAATAAGAAACAAGATGGGTGATAAAAAGACAGATGAATTGATAAGAACAACATACCTGACTAACCACAGATGTAGCTTGGTTCCAATGAAATGCGAAGTAACTTAGGATGCATCTCTCAAACTCATCAACCAATTTCACATATAGGGAATCGGGGTCGTCCTCATTGGCATTGGAAATATATTCATAGATATTTTCATCACACCCTTTGGATTTTCTCAAATAGTCTTGGGCCAATATGCATAGCTCTGGAACCTCACTAGCATCTTCAAACCCAATTTGCCTTGCTGCAAACACATACCCACCACAGCAGAAACATTACCTAACATAATGCACAATCATTTTATTATATTCATACAACTCTTCACTCTTCGCATTAATTTATTTATGACTACCTTAAAAAAGGCATACCTCTTTTGCTGATCTTCTTAATTTTAACGACTATGATTTGATAAACCTAGTAGCTAGCTGCACCCTATTTAAAGTAGTATTTTAGTTTGTCATAACTATTTATATAATTAAAATTGATAATAAATAAAATCTTTTTAAATATAAATCATATTATAATTGAAAATTATAGTTCAAATATGTAAACTATTCAAATTGTAGTATAAGGTCATTTTTCATTTTTAATAGTTTTTTTTTAAAACTAAAATTTAATTTAGAAATAAAGAAGGATAATAGAACGACAAAGACAAATAGTTAAAAAAATGATTAAGAGTTTTTTTTTTCTAATTGAAGTTTAAAGAAGACAAAGAGAAAGATTAAAGAATATCATAAAGAAAGAAAAAATCTAACAACACATCTTTTAAGACACTCTTTATTATTAAATAAAATATATTAAAAATTAAAAATTTTAAAGATCTCACAATTTATTTAATAAGCTTTCTTTCATAGTTGTATAATTTTAAAAAAAAATTAATTGATAGTAGAAACATTTAAATGTATTAAAAAGGGAATGCTAAAAATATGTTGCTAATTTCTTTTTTTTTATTGTTGTGGTAAGGTCGTTTGATTTTCTTCTAAATCCTTAGTTTTAAAACTTTTTTTAAAATAATTATACAATTTACCAACCAATTTCTCATTCAATTCATGTAATTTTAAAAATTATTTATAAAACAATTAATTTAGAAACTAAAAAATGGAAAGAGGTAAGAGATATTTTCCCATTCTCTCGCTCTCTTTTTTGTGTTGTAGTCCAGTCACGAAGATAATTTTAAAAAGCTGGAGATGGGGGACCAAGCCCAGGGGTGATGGTACCCCAAACTTTTTTTAAGTGTATTTAAAATTACTAAAAAAAATAATTTTATTATCTCCATATATAAATTTTAAAAGAAATATGGATATAATTAATATACTAATACAATACAATACAATACAATAACGAGGTAAAAAGAAATTATAAATAGTAATAAAATATTTATGATATGATTTGAGAGTCATTATTATTTTAATATTTATATTATTCTTGGCCTGGTGGAGCCAAATATCTGGCTCTACTCGTCTGAAGAGCGGCCGGTTGAATAAATAAATCTCCCCTATCCACTAAACATTTTTATATGTTAAGTAAAATGATTAAATATTAAAATAAGGGAAAGATCAACTTCGTGTTTGGAATTGAGAATGAAGGGATCACATTTAGGATAACAGGGCAACAATAATCAAAAACTATTAGTTTCTCAACACCACGTCCAAAACGTGAACAAATTAAAATCCAAAAATGAACCAAACACGTTACAAGACGTCATCCAATTTTAACAAAGTTGAGAGGAACTTCTTCGTGTCTAAATGTGTGGATTATCTGGAATGAACTTGGCGTGAGTTGTGCTAGTTTTTCATAGATCTATGGATAACTTATTAAAAAAAAAAAAAATCAACAACAACAAATGCATCTTGAATGTCTCAGTTTACTTTGATTTATCAGATACGAGAAAAGATGGGGGAAAAATAATTTTTTTTTTAAAAAAAAAAAAAAAAAAAAACATTAGTAGTGTGGGTAAGAGTGCATCGATTAGAAGTGAAAGGCCAAAAAACATACCAACATAGTGGGAGAAGTTTTCGATCTTTCCGACACGGCCAGATTCCGTCCTATCCAGGCGAGGAATGACCTTCTTCTGGTCTCCGACCACCGTGGACGCTGGGCGGCGGTAGCTTGAGGCGGCGGCGGCGGCAACTAAACCGGCGAAGGAGGCAGCGAGAACATGTGTGAACTTGATTACCTTGCCAATGGAATTGTCTGAAAAAGAAACGTTGTTGTAATGTACGAACCAAAATGAGCATAAGCTAGCAAAGGTGTTTTAAACGAGAAGAAAAGAAGAGCACAGAGAGAAGAGGAGGAACCTTGCTCCATCTTGTTGGGTTTTCAACTCACTAGTGCCTCCTTATTATATATTAAACAAACTCTTACCAAGTACAAACACTCTTATTATTAAATACATTCGTTGAAATTGAATTGATTAAATGGATATAAAAGTTAAAATAAAACTATGCCAGAAAGCATAACCGTTGACGTATATAGCAAGACCAGGAGGAACGTGTTTAACTTTTTATATGTGAAAATGAGTTATCTGCCCTTCATAATTGTACTGTGTATGAGTTCCAATCCGATGGTCATGGATTTTTCTTAAATGTTCTTTTTCTTAAAATACTAGTTTTTAACAATCAGGATCATCTGAGTCTCTCACCTACCTCAATGCCCTACACGTTAGTACCTCACTCATGAATGACATGATATCCCTGAAATTTTAGGCTTCACATTTAAGACATATGTTATAAAAAGTTCAAAATAGTTAAACGATGATTATATATAATATCACGTTAAATTAAAATTTAATTATTTAATAAATGATTAATAAACAAACTAATAATATAAAGATTCTTTTTATCATTTAACTATAAAGTAACATGTATAAATAATAAGTTAATTTAAAATTTTAAAATTGTATCAATAATATTTTTTAATTAATTGGCATCGTAAATTTTAATATTTATAATACATGTTTATCAAACTTTTATTTAATTCTTAAAATAATAAAATTAACGTAAAAATATGTGCTAGAGTTTTTTTTTTCTTCTCTTTTCTATTGACAAAACTAATCTTCATAAAATATTAAATGAAACTTTTAATTTTAAAGAAGAATTCCCTCTAAAATCAAGTCAAAACTATATGTCTTGCTTGTAAGAAAATTTACTATTTTTAGAGTCGTCAAAAGAGATCAAAATTTGTGGGTCAATTTGATCCATTATAAGTTCGAGCCAAGTTAAATTTAAAAAAATTTACAAGTTTTAATACGTGCCAATTTTCAACCCGACCATTAAGAACCCATCTTATCATGGGTTTAACCCATGGTGAGTTAGGTTGGCTCATCAACCCACATAACAAAAAAAAAAAAAAAAAAAAACCA